ACGTGAACCCTATCCCACCTGGCACTACACCGTGGATCTTACTGCCAACAGTGCATTCTTTTCTTTACTTTTTTACATTTTTTTTTCCCTTCTCCTTGTCGTGTATCATCATAATGATGATCAATTCAAAACCCTATTGTTTTGCTGCTTGCATTTGGACATACACGACACCTGGACTGGATGCCTCCTAGGGCTATGAACTGTATTCTGGGAACTTCTACACCGTTCTAATTATAGAGTTCTTATCTTTCTGTTTTTTTGGTATGAGACGTGCCGTGAGGATCAACCTCAAGGTTTGTCTCTTAATTTCTTGAAAGAATTCAACCCAAAATATAAACAAAACAAAAATATATTCAATGCTTAAAGATGGCGATGACAGCAAAGTTGAGATTTGAGAGGTGGTGGAAAAAACCAGAGGCATCGAATGTCGATCGCTTTGTTTATTGTTGCATATTTGAAGGGGTAGGTTTGCTTCCCAAATGAGGATCTAATGAGAGAAGTGCTAATGTCTCAAGGATCAAAACCCATTTATTCCTTACATCCCCAAACCAAATCTAATGCAAAATATCTAAGAGAAATACAAAACAACAACGAGAGAAAGAAGGTAGATATAAGATAGGCATGGTAACCAATATAATAAATAAGAATGGTCAAACAAACAATCATCAGAAGACCCATGTGAGACATATGGCCAAGGTCCCAACATATCCTCATCATCAAGGTCTTCTTCAATGGGTTAAGAGGTGTGTCCCCTTGTCCTCTGAATCCAGAGCACATACCGTTCCAAACGCACAAGTTCTTTGCATCTCTTCACGCTTACTTCACACAACCAAACAACAATGACGACTCTTGGTTCTATTTATAACCCCTTACAAGCAAAAACGTGAATCTCGTTTCAATTTCATTTATAGTCGGATTGTGATCCTTCGCCGATGATCAATTTATTTAAACAACACATGTCACTGAAAAGTTTCCGGCTCAAGATTGATTGCTTGTTTTTGGGTTTGATCTTTGATGTGATGTGAAGGGGTGGATTGGGTTGTTAATTGTTATTATTAAGTCGTGTTAACGTTGGGGGTGAGCTTAGATAAATTAATGGAGTGAAGAGTGTAGAATAATAAGATAGGGTAAGGCCAACCAAATGAGTAAAGGCTAATGGCTAGACGACGAGAAATGGGATTAAGACATGTTGGTTGGTCGGATTAGATTTTGTAGGAGGCCGTCTAGGACAGTGACGGAGGGTCACACAATCCAAATCCCTTGGCCCAATATTCTACCGTCTGTCCTTTTTTATGGGTGGGATGTATTTTCCAACACAAAACACCACATCGAATTTTAGCAACTTTCCTATCAAATTTTGTCCCAGTTCTGCTTCTAGAAGCATGGATAGTCCCCCCACCTCACTCCACCCCCTCATTTATTATTGGCATTTGCTAGACCGACATCAATTGGAAGGTCAAAGAAGGGTCAAAAGAGCTTCACATGTAAATGTTTGTGGGCGCAATTTCAAATCAGAATGATTTAGCAATGAGTCATACTATAGTATATGACTCTTAAGTGAGATTTTATCTCTTAATTGTCAGATTAAACTAACCAATTTGATTCAACAGTTAATATATAATACTTCATCTAAAGACTATATATAAGGCCGTCATAATAGAATTCTTGTATAGTATCGTGTTATTAGTTGCATTTAGAATTTACTTTTGGATTGGGCTGACCCAATAAAGGCCCAATGTGGTTTTTAGGGAAATGAAAGACCACAGCCTTCTATTTTGATTTTATGGGCTTCTTCTAGTCAGTCTTCAAAAACAAAATTCATAGAAAAATCCATAATTTAAAAATGAAAAATATCTCTCTCTAGAAGACTCTAGTTCAAAGTCAAGATTCCCTAAATTCGGAACGTTGTCAATTTTAATAGGTTGGCTTATAAGAGTAGTATTTTATTTTGTGACAAACAATCCTTCAGAAAATAGACATTTAATGGTAATTGAAAGAGTTCTGATAATATAATTTTCTCTGAATCTAAAATAGAATACGCCTACAAAAGACGCACGTTTAGCCGTGGACTAATCCAATTGACCAGCTAAGCTAAGCTGAGTTTGCTTAATATTTTCTAAACTTAGACATGATATAAGCTCTAATAATTCTCATCTCCAACTCATGTATTGCAAGGGTCTAAATACCAATCCAGGCAATAAGTCGGGCTATATTCCGTCTGTTGTTTTGCCTCCACTGAAACGAGTGGAGCCCACGGAAAGAGGAAAAAGCAGCCCACGTGAGGAGAGATAATGTTGGACCCGCCACTTGTGTAATTCCAAGCCACATGTTTTGTTTTTGACAGAGGTGATGTTCTGGCGTTTGAAATCCAATGGCAAGAATTTGTTTGCGTTCAATTTTTTTATAATCTATACTTTGCCGCCACCTCTCATCAAGCAGCCATGGTTTTTTGTTTTTTGTTTTCTGACTAAATCTTACTTTAAAACAAAATTCAACGGTCAAAATATTAATTAATCTAACCCAAATATCATATATCCACTTATTTGTTTATATTTATGAATTAAAATTTTGTTTTCGAAACTTGAATTTTTTTAGATTAGAATGTTCAGAAAAATAAATCATGATGTTATAAACAAAATTCACATTAGGAAAATTAATGACAATAATAATAATAATTAAGGGTTAATCATTCTTAAACCATTTAACAAAGTTGCATACTCAAATTTTGAGTTTGACTGATTGGAGAAAAAAATTGTTTGAGTCCGAACAATACATGAATATTTGTATTTTGAAAGAGAAAAATTTAGATTTAGCCTCATTTGGGTTGGAGGTGGCCTTAGAAGGGCCACATGTCATTACTATAAATATAATTCTTTGATTTCTAAATTTAATTAATTAGGGTCAAGATCAAGCGTACGTATGCAATGATCAATGATTTGGTTTGACCTTTTATTTTATACTAGCATCTCTGCTAGAGGTTTAAAAAAAAAAATATTTTAGAATTAAAAAAGATTATGGGTAGTTGTGTTCCATAAAAATAGGATCCATTATATGCTTTTTTCTTTTAAATTTAATATATAAAAAAGTGTGAATTTACCATAGTATCATCATTTAATTAATAATTTCAATTCTTAATGTTTGCATTAACCAATGGCATTTTCTGGTATTTTGAATGTTTTATCATTCTCTGCATTTTGCTTTATATATACAGATACTACTATTTTGTAATGGCCTATTATTTTAAAATTAAAAAATATAATTGGTAGTTGTGTTCCATAAAAATAAGGTCCATTATCTAATTTTTCTTTTAATTTTAAATTTTTTTAATATAAAAAAAATGTGAATTTACCATAGTATCATTATTTAATTAATAATTTCAATTCTTGATGCTAGATCATTCTGTTATTGTAATGGCCTATTGTGACTAGTAAATTTTTTTGGCTGAATTATGAATGCAATTTCAAAATTTATCCACAAAAAAAAAAAAAAAAAAAAAACCCAAATGCGTACATGGCTTAGTGGCATCTTCTATCCATATCATTTATTTTATTTTAAGGAAAATGCTTGTCTTCGGGAAGTAGGAACTCCGACTTTCTTGCCAATTATAGTTTGACATATATGTAGATTTTTTTTTTTTTTTGATAAATTATTTTTGTATGTGTGATGTGCAAGAAATAGGAATGCCTCATTTTAGGGAAATAGGGAAGCAATGTCCTTATTTTAAGAGTAATGCTATTTCCACCTCCTGTCATATTTTCTCACCCACCTTATCTTCTCACCCACCATGTAAATTTGAAAGAACACAAACTTATCTTTCCACCCACCATTATTCCTAAAATACCCTTTAATTATTAATTTTAGTAAATTCTCTTTGCTAATCATTAGTAATTTTATTTATATAAAAAAAAACAGTAATTGTATTTTCATATTTTCCATTACAATTAAAAAATCCTTCAATTTGCCCATCCCCACTTAAGTCTCAACCTTCCCCCGCGACCCAAACCTCTCTTCCTTAAAAAATATAAACCCTCAAAACCCAAATAGAACCCATTGTATTTTGATTCCCATGATCATGAATGGTTCCTTTGCTTCTCTCTGATATTCAAAATAAACTGTTAATTTTATCTCATTTCCAATTATTTCTCTCAATCAGGAATTCCTTTTTATCTTTTGAGTTCTGACACCTATAGATATGGTTGAAGGTTCTATTGTTTTTGGAAGAATGAAGTATATTAGGTCTGATTTGAAAACAAATTAGCCAAGTAGAAAAAACTAAAGATTCTGAATTCTAGTTCGGAAGGAAAAAGAAAAGGGATTAGATATCAATATGGCATGAAACTAGACAATAAAAATGGATATTTGAGTTTCAGAGTTTGGGCGGGTTCTTTTCATCCTTTCTGAAGAAAGAAGCGCGACATTAGGTTCCCTTTGTTTTATTTTCCTCAAGTAAAAGTGGCCAGGTGTCCTTCTTTTCTAACCCTTAGATTGAATTTTAATGATGTGTCAAGCTTATATTAATAAATAGAGAGTTTTAAATTTGTCCTTAAAAGTTATTTTGTAAAGGGAAAAATTTATTTTTAAAATTTTAAAAATAAAGTGGATGGGAAAATAGAACAAGTGAATGGAAATAACAGCACTCTATTTTAATTATCCGTCAACGAATTCTTTAAATCGCGTAATATTTCATAGTCATTTGGTCTGCTATCAAGGGTCCACGCACAGGCTGCAGTGCGCTCACTCCAGCCCATTTCAAGATTTAAAGTGACTAGACTTTGGTGCAAATTTTACAAAGTTGTCCCTACTCCCACAAATGTTTTGGCACATGTTGTCTGTTGGGTTGCTTTTTGTCTTTTAATCTAATAAACCAATCAAATTTTGCTACTTCTACGTCTTTTGCCTTCTCTTTTTCTCTTTTTCGACCTTTTCTCTTCTACTTATTTTCTCTGGTGCTGCATTTCTCTTCATTTTTTTTGTTTCTCTCTGCTTTATTTCTCTATTTTTTTCTTGTTCTTTGTATTTGGCTTATTTTCTCTTTTGCTTCGTTCTCTTCTTTTCTTTGTGTGAATCATTGTTTGTCCCCCTCTATCTCTCTTACTCTTACCGCTCCTTCTCTCACTGACTCTCTCAACTTTACCTTTCCTGACCCTCCCTCTCTCTCAACTCTCACGGCCACTCTCTCTCTCTCTCTCTCGCCATGTGTTTTAACATTTAAGTTCTGGTTGTTAAATTTTAATTGTTATTGTTAGGGTTTTTAGATTTAGGGTTTGGTTGTTAAATTTTTGGAATTTTTTCTTATGCTATTTGAAAGAAAAGTTGCTTCTCCGCTTGAGGTTCCACTCAAAACATCAGGGTGAGGTTCTCTACTTCTCAAGGTCAGAAAGGGGAGAGAAAAGGAGAAAGGGTTTGTATTATTTATAAAAAAATATGATGATTTTTAGTTTTTAAATATTTTAAAAGATGTTATGTTATTATTATTATTTTTTTACTTGGAGTCCCAAAGCCAAGAAAAATATTAGCCTACCCCTGACAAAATTTCTAGGTCTAACCATTGTCTGCTATTCTCCTAATTAATTATGTAAAAAATTAAGGTGTTTTTAATTTGAATCTGGTACTTAACTACAATCTGATGACCTGGACAAACCTTGCACCTTGCAAACGTTTGATACTTGACTATAATCAGGCCATAAAAAGTGATCCATGCAGAATGATAAAGATAAGAAATCTTTTTTTATCAGCCATATTACGGTAAGATATAAATGTAATTTCTAAATCATCAATTAATCTAGGTCTACCAGTTCCAAATCAGCCCAGCTAAGCTTTATACCATGAAACCGCAACGGCAATAACTATTAGTTTTTTTTTAATATATATAAAAAGCTTGTTAATTACTCCAAATTTCCAATATGCCACTCATTAAAGCAACTTACCATCCTCTCACCTACATAATTTTTATTTTTATTTGTTCCAATGGCTGGCAGATTGTTATATTATATATGCATCATTGGACAAGCATATATATAATTTCCTACATTTTATATTGTTTGTAGTTGAGACATCGACATAACGCAGCGAGCAGCTCATCATTTCTCCTTTGCTTCCTTCCAAGCCATATTACTACATGGAGGATCCCAAGGAAACTGTCTGTCAAAGCTACTTTTTTCTGAAGCCTGAAGAAGCAAGTTTCCTTGAGCTCCTTTACCTCCTATGTTCATCTGATGTAGGAAAAAGAAGATTCATCGAGATCGAGTGCTCGGAAGAGGACGTGCACAAGGTCACAGAGGTTAGGCGCAGGTGGGTAATCTTCATCTCTGTTGTGCTGCAATGGAGCTTGCTTTTCTTCAGAGACCCCTTGGCTCGGATTGGGGACGTGTTCGACAAGTGGCTAAATGTTATATCAGCCAACGGTGGATTGCTCATGTTCTTCATAAACCGGCTAAAAGGTAATTAAGCTCTAATTAATTTTCTTATAATAATATTAATATCCTTAATTCTTTGTATCAGTCACCAGCTATCTATATGGATGGATCATGGATAGAATATGTTTATGATGCTTAATGACAGTTTGTGCATGCATGCGGGAGGTTTGTAATTGTTTTTCTGAAAAAAGAAAAACGGACATCATTAAAACCTTTCCGTTTTTAGCTACAAGGGTTTTTCCTTGACTTGATGGGAGCTTACATTGTGGACTAAACTTCCCTCAATTGATTCAAAGAATGATTAAAATGGTTAAGAGTAGTTATTCTTAGGTCATGTGTTCGAATCTCCCTCCTTCAGTATCAAAGGATGATTAAAATGGTTAAGAGTAGTTATTCTTAGGTCATATGTTCGAATCTCCCTCCTTCAGTATCATATGGCCACACATACACACACAAAAAAAAAAAGACCATTGAGAGATTTTTACTGGTCAGTACATACAGCCCAAATGGTGAATGACCATATGGCTCAAGAATTAAAACACACAACAAAACATTAATTTAATTATGACAACCAGACCAGAGAGAGGGAATTAATTATGTGATTATGTTGCTAATTCTGCTGTTTAATTTATAATTAAATGAGTAAAACGGGCGGGAGTGCAGGAAAGGTGGTGAAGCCAGATTCATTAACATCCGAATTATCGGTGGTGGGAAATGTTGATTGGCGAATTGAATTGGACGTCAACATCAAACCTGAGGATGCAAGATACAAAGGGGCACTGTCCATGATGGCTGCTAAATGGTCGTACGAGAATGAAGACCTCATTAAAACAGTTGTCAACGATCACTGGAAGGTATGTCTTCACTGGCATTCCTTACAATAATGCTCAATTCACCGAATTAATTCAGTGCTCTCTCTTATTCTTAAAAGGATTGACAAAAATTGTTCTTCGTTCCTTTTGATGACGATGAAATTGTTTTTTAAGCGATTAATTAATTCTTTGGAGTGCGCAGATGAAATTCTTGCGGTTTTACAACTGTTGGAATGGTAAGTAAGGAAGCAGCAAACCCTTGCATTTTCTTTACACAATTTATATGGTTGTTTTATTTTATTTTTTCCTGAGCAAGACAATATAGGCTTTCAAAATGTTATGCAGATTACCTGGGACGACATTCAACACAAGCTTTCCTGTTCCAAGACACAACATCTGACCCCAACTTGATCGTGGTGGCATTTAGAGGCACCGAACCATTCGATGCCGATGAATGGAGCACAGATGTCGACATCTCATGGTGCGAGTTCTCTGAAGTCGGCAAGGCACACAGCGGCTTCATGAAAGCTCTCGGCATGCAACCAAACTACACCTGGCCCCTTGAGCTCAAAACAGAGCAAGTCAACGTTGACCAACCTCATCGGTTTGCTTACTACACAATCAGGAAAAAGCTGATAGATTTGTTGCAGGAGAACAAGAGTGCCAAGTTTATATTGACAGGCCACAGCTTGGGCGGGGCATTGGCTGTGATGTTTGTTGCTGTCCTGGCAATGCATGGCTATGAGAGAGAATATGAGTTGTTGATGGAGAGGTTGGAGGGGGTGTACACTTTTGGACAGCCTAGGGTGGGGGATGCGAAATTTGGGGGGTATATGAAGGAGAAGCTACAAAAGTATGGTGTGAGGTATATGAGGTATGTTTACTCCAATGACTTGGTGCCTAGGATACCTTATGATGATAAGACTCTCTTCTTTAAGCACTTTGGACCCAGCCTCTATTTCAACAGCTGCTATCAAGGAAAGGTTACTCTCTCTCTCTCTCTCTCTCTCTCAATAACGTGATCTGTACGAGTTATTGTGAGGTAAATGATGTATATATATGTTGTATGCAAGAAGTTTGTGAGAAAAACATTAGGCTTAATATCACAAAACATCCATCGGGTTTACTAAACCAGATTGCATCTTTATTGTTTGTTTGTTTTTTTTTTTTTTGTCATTCGTGGTCCTCAAGGTTAGTATGTGTGATCACAAATGGTCATTGTCATTAAGTTTGGTCAAAAACTCCGTTAGTTTGTTGATGTGACATATATAAATATATAGATATCCCTAAAGTTTACGCACCTATCACAAATGGTCCATGCGAAATTTTTTAATTTAAAATTCATAAAATTTCGGTTTTCTTTTTTAAAATTTAAATTATTTAAATATATATATATATATTGTATTTTAAATACACGTGACACTATATTATTAATAAATGGTTTTTTCATTTTTAAATTCTATGAATTTTAAATTATTAAAAAAAAAACTTCATTATTGATGTGACATATATGTGGAGCCCATATCTTCAAAAAAATAGTGTCACGTGTATTTAAAATACAATATATATTTAAATAATTTAAATTAAAAAATTAAAAAAATTCACAAGGATCATTTGTCATAGGTGCGTGAACCTCATGAATGTCACGTTAGCAAACTAACGGAGTTCTTGACAAAACCTAATGGCATGGACCATTTGTGATCCCAAATACTAACCTTGAGGACCACGAATGACATAAGAAAACATTAAGAATGCAATATGATAGTTTCGTAAACTTTAAGGACGTTTTGTGATATTGAGCCAAAACATTATATACATCTTTACACTACTTATATGACTAACAATGCTAATTAAACATTTTGGTTCGAGCTAGGTTTTGGAGGAGGAACCCAACAAGAACTACTTTAATCCGTTGTGGGTCATACCAAAGAGCCTAAATGCAGTGTGGGAGCTGATTAGGAGTTTCATACTTCCTTTGCGAAGGGGCTCGGAGTACAATGAAGCATGGTTTATGAGAGCCCTTAGGGTTGTTGGTTTAATACTTCCGGGATTGGTAGCTCATGCTCCTCAAGATTATGTCAATCTTACACGATTGGGATCCCTTCCATCACTCGCAAACCCTAATAATATTATTCCTCAAGAAAATTCTAAGGTCGATTGATATGCAAAGATTTATAATAGAATTGTACGTGATGCTCAAGTAGATGATTGTTTTGTGCACAAGCTTTCATGGTGTGTGAAAAACAAGAAAAAAAATTAACGTAGTATATAATCTGAAGTCTTTGATTTACACACACACAAGCATTATTAATCGCTGAATCCGCAACAATTGCTTACTAGGGTCCTAGTTATCTAAAAGACTGAACCTGAGGTTTTGGTGCTTCATGCCACTGGAAAGCTACGTTGACACTGATTTAGCGTGGAAATAGTAGCTGCTAACTGCTATACACCATTCATTTATGTTCTGGATCCTCCGTTGTTCATTTACTTAACCTGGAAAGACATGCAAATGGCTGTTCGTGAGCATCAGAACACAGCATAAGAATCAGAATCACAAAAGGTTTCATATATATAGTTCATTAGGCAGATGCCTTCCCACCCAAGGACGTGCTTGTAAATTATATCAGAGGCTGTCATTTCCAGTTAAACTGCATCAGCAGCTAGTTTCATTGATCCCAACAGTTATATTATACGTGGTACAGATGAGAAGTTCCACAATTTTCGAAAACTTTCTTACTTCTATGGTACAGACAAATTACCTTGTTGTATAGCCAAGTGGAACAACAGGTGGCTGGCTGAGGAGTCAGAAAGTATGGCATGTAAAACAACCACTCAAAGAACCCATCTGACGAGTTCTACGAATTGATACAGTTCTATGTGAGGTCCCTGCAACTCGTGCTTGGTCGGTTAACACGGAGCTTCTCATGTCTTGAGCCTTCTTCTGAGCCGATCTCAACTTGTTCATGATTTTATCCATGGATGATGATCTCTTCTTTTCCAGCTTCATCTGAAACAGATTAAAGTAAGGGTCAATATTTGCAGAACATATATACAAGAATGGAAGCCCAGAGAGAGAGACAGAAACCTCTAGTTTCCGTATTGCTGCCTCAGCTTTCGCCTTCTGCAGGTTCTCCCAAGCAGTGATTTTGGCTTCCTCTCTTTTAACTCTGAAGAAAGACAACAGGTTGACATTTCGATATTAGTATAGATATGTATCAGTCCACATTTTAAAATATCACATCATTTAATGATATTGATCATAAATCTCTATATTTTGGACTAGTGACAATTAGGCAGGAAATTTGACCAAACAAAAGGCCAACCAATCAATATTTATTGAGATCGCAATGTACTTTTAGTGTATGGAAAAGATAGGAATTTACTCTATGGTTATGGCATTTTCTTCAGAGTTCAAATCAATCCAATTTTCCATACAAAGTTTTTGACACTCTCAATGTATTTTTCTTTCATCTTCTCAGAAATAAACAATGCACAATGGTAAAATTGTGTGGCAAACATACTTTGAAATGTTCTTCGATGAGTCAGAAAGATCCCAAGCAGCAGACCGAGAGTCTGCATCTTTCTTTTTCCAATTATCAATAATATCAGAGCCCTTCCCAGGTACTCGGGCTTTATGTTTCTTGGACCACCTTGTCACAGTGACACGGTCATCTACCTGCACATCCCTGACTTCCAACTTCAAAGAAGGGGCACTCTGCACTTCCACAATAGGCAGGCCCGAGGAACTGGAGGCAGAGTAAGAAGGCCCTCCTATGGGAGATGAGTGAGTGCTATCATCTGGGCTCATCTGCGTTGCCATGTCCCTTCTTGAAACTGCACGAGATACATTGGTAGCCGCATCCTTGACCCCATCAGGTCCATCAAACTTTTCATCTGGTGTACATGTAAACAGACCAAAGACCATCCAGAAATGAGTACAATAGTTATAGCAACTGTTACACCAAAGACATGAGTTCATTGTTCAGGAAGTATATACACATGCTTAACATATTTCTAACACGGTAATTAAATCAGCTATGCTAATTATACATTCATGTAACGAATCCAGTTACTATGACTACGAGAATCCATTGTGATTTACTTGGCTCAATTAAGAAAGTAATGTCTAGTGGAAACAAATATAACACTAACCTTGAGAGCCAGGCAGTGAAGACTGCTGGTCCAGCACCTCAGAGCAACCATGCACACTAACCGAACGGGCAATGCAAGGTTCAGCCCGGGTTGTAAAGGCTCCATTTTGGGCACCGGAGTGGAATGCCAATCCATCAGCTGATATAACACCAGCTGAAAACGGAGATGCAGCCATGAAATTGCTCACATTGGTCCCATCAAACATGGGCATTGCTGGCGAGTACAATGAGTAATACGCAACCCCAGGAGGCCCAAGTGGACCACTCTTCGATTTTGGCCTCCTCTGGGTCTGCTGACACGACGGCCTCACCACACCATCACCCTGAACCGGACTGAAAATCCACCTCTCGGCATCTTCCCATTTCGACGGCAATGTCCTCCCGTTATTAAACGGCAACATTGAAGCCGTCGTATTCTTCCGACCCACGTTGGTAGGCGCCGGAACTCGCTCGGAGCTCCAACCCTTCTGAACTCCGAGACTCGTGTTCCGGTAACTCGGTGTACCGGGACTCGGGAAATTCCCCGATTTCCGAGACGCCATGGAACTCTTCTTTATGTTGCCCAGTCTCGGCGAGGAGACAGAGGCATTGTTCAAATCCAAAGAAGCGGGTCTCGGCCTGTCTAGCTTCTTCGAGAAAGCTTCAGATCTGGAGCGCCGGTCCTGGCATTCTATAGAAAGACGAAAAAACCCAAAAGGGTGAAGCTGAGAGCTCAATCTGGTTAGATTGGACTAAAATGGGTTTTTACCTTTGATGGCCAGAGAGAAAGAGCTCCTAGCCGAATCGAGAACTAAATCCGAGTCAGTGTCTTCCTTTTGAACTGCATAAGCTCGAAGTCAAAAACAGTGAGCAAGTGAGAGTTTGAAAATTGAAAAACTGAGCAAAAGCGGAGAGGAAAGCGACGTCGTATGGTTTCTGAGCTGTACCTTTGGCCTTTTCTGCTTTTGTGGAGAGACGAGAGTGCTTGATGCTGCTGGTGTGGAAAGTTAGGCGTCTGCTCGGATCTGGATCGCGATCTGTACCGCTCGAGCTTTCTTCAACGTGGTGCTCATGTGCAGCCGAGTTCTACATCAGTCAAATCATACATCATCAATCGATGTGCATTCATCATCATCATCAACATCAATTTTTACAGAAGAAAGCAATTAAGCATGCAAATCGGAAACTTGAAAGGCCGATTCGGCCGGTACCGGAGAGATCTCGGAGTCGTGGTCAAGGGCGTCGGAGGCGAAAGAGCAGCGGTCAACGCTAGCGGAGGCTGAAGAGAAGAGACTGAAGTTTGACTCGAGGGTGAAGATGACCGAGTCGGGGCTCGCGTCTCGGACTCCGAATCTCTGCTCCGGCATTTTCACTTACATATCGCAGAGAAGAAGAAACAGAGAGAATCTGAGAGTGTGAAATGGCGGGTATTAGAAGTAAGGGAAGGGAGAGTTGTTTATTTATGGGATTAATTCAGGCAAATCACGTTTAAGAGATTTTGTTTAACGAATCTAAAACACAAAGATTAATTAATTAAGGTTGGATTTTGATTAATTATGCGACTTTGTTTTTGTTCATCATTCATTTCATCCAAATAGATATAAGCTTATCCAAGTGTCGGCTCACTGGGTTTGCTTTGCGCCTTTTAATGCTTGGGTCGTCGTCCTCAGTACGTTTGACTACATGAAAATGAGAGTGGGGCCCACGTGTCATATGTCAGGAACTGGGTCAAGGTTTGGAGCCGGGTGTGGGGTAACATGGACTTCCGGTGTGTAACTTTTGAGTGACATGGATTTTGAATTGTAATGATACAATTGACAAATCAATGATGTTCTTTTCGGTGAATGAATTTCACAATTGATTTTAATTTTCCCGCCCTTGATAATGTTGTCTGATGTGAGTAAATTCCACATTCAGAGAATGTTTAAGGCTTGCGTTATATTGCATAATAGTAATTTATGTGTTGTGATTTTTTATGTAATTGTTATTTGATTTTAGATTAGACGACATGTGTGATAATTATTAGTCTAAAAAGTTTAAGCTGTCAGAGAATGAGCCAACAATGTATATTAAGTGCCAGTTTGGCATTGCTTATTCGGGGTGATAAGTGATTTTTTAAAAATTTTGAGAAGCCCAACCCGTTTGGTAAACTGCGAAAAAATCACTTATTATTAAAAATTGCTGTGAGAGAAAGCTATAAGGGAAATCAGCTAATTAGGTGCTTTCATTTTCTGATTATGCAGGAATCAGTTTTGAAGAGGTGTTGGGTTTAATGATTATGCAGCAATCATTTTATGATTATGCGTAAAATCAACATCAACAACACTTTTAACAATAATTTTACCAAACGCCAAATTGCTTTCTCTCACAGCTGATTTCTCTCACAGCAAATCTGACAGCGATTATTTTCACAGCACAGCAATGCCAAACTGGCCCTAAGCTTACACCCTTCTTTACGTGCATGCTCATCTACACATAAAGAGACATACCAATAAAAATAGAGACACAAACATATAAATGTAGCCCTACCTTGCACCAAAAAATTTAAACTATAAAAGAATAAGTCAATAATATATATCAAGCTTACAAACGTGATTTGCAATACCTAATAATATATGCTGTTTTCGCATTAGGTTGTATAATATCATTCATAGACGTCCCTTCAGGGACAGACCCTAAGTTTGACTTACTTGGGCTATAGCGCAAGAGGCTTATTTTTTCACTGCCCAAAACAATAAAAAAAACCTAGCTCATCCAATTTAAATAACCTAGCCTCATTTAATTCTCCTCATTAAACAGCACGTAATCAATAAAAATATAAGAAGAAAAAAAAACTCACACACAACACAACATGTAGAGAAAAAAAAAAGAGGGAGAAAGAAAAAAGAACTCACATACAACACGTAGAAAAAAGAAAAGAAAAGAAAAGAAGAAGCACCCTACACTTGCACGTAGAGAAATAAAAAAGAACGTTCTTGTTGCTGCTGCATTCACCTTCAAGACTCAATTCAAGTGAACCAAGTTCATATATTCGTCAGGTAAGCTTCTCTCAATTTGTTGATGTTTTAATTTGAGGAATTTTTTTGAAGTTTATGAAGTATCAATTAGGATTTGCAATTGAAACTTATGAATTATAAATTAGGGATTCGCAATTGGGGGTTATCAGTTTCAGTTTATGAATTATGAATTATGAATTATCAAATAGGATTTGTAATTGATTTTATTGTTCTTGCTTATTAAATAGGTTTTTTTTTGTTATCAATGAAATTATATGGTACTATTGAGTTTTCTATCTACTTAGTACCTTTAGTTTCAATTTATGAATTATCAAATAGGATTTGTAATTGATTTTATTGTTTTTGCTTATTAAATAGGTTTTTTTTTTTTTGGTTATCAATGAAATTATATGGCACTGTTGAGTTTTCTATCTACTTAGTATATTTGTATGTAAAGTAAATGTAGCCCACCCCATTTTGAAATCCTGATTCTGTCCCTAATGAAAATGATTTGATTTCTCCTCATTTGGTTACAAATCCAAGGTCAGTGGAGGTCATTATCGTTGAAATTATAGGAAAGTTTATGTAAACCAAGCAATACAATAATACAGACAATCCAATATCAGAGATTCACAGGAAGAAGAAGTAGGAAACTGTTTGCTTCTTGTTTATTATTTGTCACAACAAAAGGCAGCCACGGGTTGGCACTTGGCAACTATATCCAATATCTGTATGTCCACATCACCATCCAAGGTGACCCATATTTTATAGGTTTATTTACTATAGTGACCCTTGAAACTTCGGTCAAATCTCACTTTGACTCTCAAAGTTAAAATGGCTCACTTAACCCTATTTCCTGTGATTTCGTGTTCCACTTTACTCCCACCTTTATCTCCATTAATAATTATGTCAGTTTTAATGATGTGTTATAGCTATTCTAGTTTTTTTTACCACAAGTAATGATGTGTCACGTGAAGGGCCCACTTTTTTTTTTTTTTTTGGTTTAAATTAAATTAAATAATAATATAATTACTTGTTTAATTATATATATATATAATAGAAAAATTAACAAATAAAAATCTTTCTTCTTTATGCCTCACTCACTCTCTCTCTCTCTCTCTCTCTCTCCCCTCAAAACTAACCCAGGCTTTCCAACAATTCTCTCCAATCAAATCATCCCAAAACCCCAACCTTTAATCTTTATAGTCAAACCCAAAATTCCCTCGTTCTAGACCTAAATTGAAACATTTTTACTCAAAATCAAATGGACGGACCCTAAATCACTAGCTTTTCAAACAATAATTCAAAACAAAAGACAAAAACCCTGTGGACCAAGTACTCCGATGTCATTTTGTCAATCCAGCCCACGATGACAACTCCGTTGTCGCCAGCGTTAAGGGGTTAGTATACATTGGGTCGGTGGATGAGGTAGTCAAACTGTCACACCCCTGATAGGCTCTCCCGTAGCACGATATTGTCCGCTTTGGGCCCCTCCTGCCTTCACGGTTTTGTTTCTAAGAACTCACAAGCAACTTCCCAGTGGGTCACTCATCCTATGATTGCTCTAACCTAAACTCGCTTAACTTCGAAGTTCCAATGACTCCAAAGCTAGTGAGCTCCCAAAAGGTCTAATGTTAGATGAAGGTGGGCATGTACATATAAGAAACATCATCCCCTCTCTATTGGTCGACATGGGATGTTACAATCTACCCCCCTTATGGGCCTGACGTCCTTGTCGGCACAATCAGACCACATGGTAGAGTGGCTTTAATACCATTCTGTCACACCCTGGATTGTTTTCGCCGTAGCACGTTATTATCCGATTTGGCCCCATTTGTCCTCACAGTTTTATTTCTGGGAACTCACGAGCAACTTCCCAGTGGGTCACCCATCTTGAGATTACTCTAGCCCAAACTTGTTTAACTTCAAATTTCCATGACTCCAAAGCCAGTGAACTCCTAAAAGGCCTTGTGCTAGATGAAGGTGAACATGTACATATAAGGCACATCACCCCATCTCCGTTGGTCGATGTGAGATGTTACACAAAGTGTGGAAGAGAGAGCAGACATTGCTGAAGAAAGAAGACGCGGTGACAACACTCACTATCAAAGTCTTGGGCTCAATCGTGTATTATGTGTCCTCTAACAGTATGGCTGGTGGTGGGTTTGGATGGTTATAGATGATGGTGTAGTGGTTGGTTGCAGAGAAAGGAGAAATGAGGAAAGAGGAAAGATTAGGCCGTTCTTTGGGGATAAAGATTGATCTTTTATTTTCTTTTTTATGTTTTGGAAATTGGAAGGAAGAAGCATGGAGGAGTGCAGTAGCGAACCCAGGATTTCATGTGTCTAGGGGCCTTTCACAAAATATAAATAATAAAAACTTCAAACTTACAAGACATCAAAACATCAAAACATCAAAAATCATATTGTTTATATTGTCTATTCATTACAATTATAATTATCCTCGATGAGTTTTCATATTTCGAAATCGTTGCACAACAACATCGTAATCTATACTATTAAAAATGTCTTTCTCAATATATGCAACCAAGCAATCATTCATCCACAAATTCCCCATTCGATTGCGTAACCAATTCTTCACAGTATTCATAGCAGAAAATACTCGCTACATTTGCAGTCGCAACAAGTAGGATTAGTGCTAGTGTCATAAGCAAGTACACTAAAGGGTAGATATGATCTTCTTTTGTCTCAACTATCTTTTGCGCAAAGATCAGTAACCGATTCTTCACAATATTCATAGCATCAAATATCTCCAAAGCCTTTTCCCTTTGGTAATCTACACATAAATTGAAAGACCCATTGAAATCAATAGAAATAAAAAACTTGATAATATAATTAGATTTTGAGAAGAAAAAAAAAAACTCACAAGTAATTGGTTGGTCTGATTGTGTTTATGACCCAAGAAAAGAAAAAAAGGCTTAGGTTTATTGATTTATATAAAAAGGCAACATATATTATAATAATAATTCTAATCCTTTTAGGAATAGGGAGCGTATAGTTGTAGGAAATTTGGCTGGTTAGTAGGGCCCACATGGTAATGTAGTTTTGGTTGAATATGGCCCATATGGTAAATGACTTTTATCTCAGAGCAAATTGGGCTGCATACTATTACTTTATTATTATTATTTTTTAAAATTTCAGTGGGGGCCAGCGACTGCACTAGTCCCCATGCGCTTCCGCCATTAAAGGAGTGGAGAGGGGTTGGGGAAGCTGCTTAGGCAGGTGTTGCAAGGTAGAGTTGGATCTGGGTAGGATTTATTTATTTATTTTTATTTTTAAAGCATAGAGAATAAATTTATTTTTTCATATATATATATATATTAAAGAATTAATTACATTATTTTATTTTATATTTAATTCAATTTGAAGAAAAAAAAAGTGGGCCCTTCACATGACACATCATCACTTGTGGTAAAAAGATTAAAATAGTCATGTCACATCATCAAAACTTATAGTTATTAATAGAGATAATGGTGGGGGTCAAGTGGAACACAAAATCATGGTCAAGGGGATTAAGTGGGTCACTTTAGCTTGAGGAGTAAAGTGAAATTTGACTGAATTTTTGGGGGACACTATAGTAAATAAGCCTATTTTATATGCCAGAATTTGTCTTTGTCATCTCCAAGGGAATATGTAAATGAAGTAGGCAAAATTATACTAT